ATGACCAGATTAAGAAATATTAGAAAGTCAATTTGATTATTGATTTCAGTATTTTGGATTGGGTTTTTGTTTTTACTTTCATAAAATAAGTAACATTAACATGACATACGAATTAAAAACATTAAAATATGAGTATTTAATTTAAACAATATATTTTGATCGAATGTTCAATATTAAAAAAAAAAGTTATTAATATTTTAATTAAAGTAACTAATGTTACAACTTAAATCCCCCCTATTATTAAAACAGATATTAAATTTTTTATTAACAGTTTCAACAATTTTTTTCTATCTCATGTGACTGGCGCGTTTTTGTCTCGTGAACGAAGAACCAGTTATGACGTCACAGTGGCATTTGTTGACCGAGATTGCTGTAGTGTATAGTACAGTCGGCACGGCTTCTCACTTTATCATACCATTTAATTCAATTTATTTATTTCTTCTTGGGTTTCAATTACTTACCATCGTAAAACTTGCACTGACAATCCAACGACATTCGTACACAAACCTTGATATAGTAGGTTAGGGCGTACTCATAGTTGACAGCACTAAAAGCCTCCTTTTAATATTGACGTAATAATGTATTTAGTCGAGTTTTACGATTTGCGAGAAGAGCGGTATTGGTGGGACATCACGTGACATTTATATATCCCCTTTCTAGTGGCCGTAAACTCTAACAAGTCACTTCCTGTACGTTGACATCTTATTAAACTCATAAAATAATACCATACATAACGTACCTTGAGGCAAATTTGAAGCCGATTTTTTTGCTGACCTAAACTATTACTAAGGCTTCATCGTAGTAGGTTAAAGAAATATTGTTCTCTTTTTTCGAGTTTTCCTCCTTGTGTTTCGGTAGTGAAAGGTAACAGTTACTCTTTGTTTATATGACATCTCATACTGCATTATAACATCTGTGGTAGTTTTAAACGAGACTCGGGTACAATCGTATGTCATAAAAATATAAGCGTCGACATTTAGCACTTGGTGTGTGTTTACATATATAACCCAGCTGAGCTCGTCAGGGCGCGCGCCTATCGATTCCCGCAAGGACAAGGGCGCCCACGCCCGCTCATACCCGGCGCCCACCCCCCACTCACCCGCCCTACCTGCCTACCCTCTATCACCCCAACACCCACTGCCAACCTGCCACCCCCGCCGCAAAAACTCGACAGATACGGTATTGGAATATTCAAACTTTATTGCGGCTCGTTAGGAGCCCACGATTGCGTAGATGGGATGGTGGTTCTACGATGGGAAGATGTTGATATAGACGGGTAATGATGATCATGTTACTCGCCTTCACCTCTTTTATGTCTAGTCGACCTAATAGTATTGTGTACATCTCGTGCGATCTCGCGAGCCGGCATAAAGTTTGGATTGCATTATACAGGGTGGCTGTTTGAAAATTTATATCAAAGAAAAAGCTTTACAATACGTAATTTATAAATGAGATCCTTCAATTAAGTTCTGATCTCTACGAGAGGTAGATTTTACCTGTTTAACTTAAAATTCTAGTTTGTGTATTCACTGAACTATGGAAGTTTAATAATTATTATTTATTCTTAAAAATGATTTTTGATATACTACTCCTTTTCATGCCAGACGTAACGATAGCTTCGAATTCTTATTAAATATTTATTAATTTCATTCGTACTTGTTCTTGGTCAGCTGGACGTCAGCAAAATATTTTGTTTAAAACTACTTCGTGTGCGCTACCCTTGTATTAAAAAATATATGACATATTCAGTAGATATAATAAATCAAACAAATTGTGGGCTAGTGTCCTCTACCTTGACAAAGCTGCAGTTTGTAGGCAGGCTACGTGACAACGATAGCCACGAGATATGCACAGACATCGTATAATGTTCAAATTATAAAGCTATTTTTATTTTTTAAACCTCCCTCTTTGTTTATTTAAATCTTATCTCGTTCTACATAAATGTGAATCGAAACATGTTTTTATTAATGGCCAGTAACTAACAATTACATTCAAAATCTTTATTTCGTATCTCGAATTGAGATATAATGCGAAAAAAAATTGTTACGCCAAGCATCTTGCAAATGTATAATTTTATTATCTAAAGTGGCAACCCTACAAAGGTGGGGTTGCCACTTCCGATAATAACCAGCTAATTTGCACGCTGCCACACTCAGAATCGAGTGCATAGTTGAGTTTGAATAAGAAACGTTAAGAGTCACAAGGAAAAATGAACGATTCTAATCTAATGATAATTTAGTAATTAATTAAATTGCAACACTACAGTAATGTACACAACTTTTGCTACCAAGAGACACCTAGCGACAAATTACGCAACAAATTGCTATAAAAATACCTCACCCACACAACCTTACCTACGTCAAAGCCTAATTTACAAAACTTACGAAATGTACTCCGCTTGACTTACGTATAAGTATTTCTATTTGCTCGCGTTTGAAACAAGCGTGCAAAACCTTTGACCTTTAAGAAGACTTGAGATCGAAATGTTGGGAACAAGACCCTTAAATATGAAAGGAAGCGTGGGTGTAGGTTTCCATTTATTTTCTACCGAGAAAACTTCTTATTTTACGTAATTACTTAACTTGTCTTACGAATACTTGGAAAAGAAATTGAACTGACGTTATTTTAGCTTTACTTCTAAGAATAATTGGTATTTGCTTTGAATGAATCATTTATAAAGATATTATCAAGAGGGAATATTTGTACTTTCGTAACTCGTACTAACGTAAGATTTTGGGTGTTTTGATTGACGAAGAAGCATAGCAATGTAATTGTTAAAGCAGATGTTTGAAAAAAATATTGTTAACCGTGAGTTAGTTGTCGAATTTTTATAAACGATTGAATAAAGCAAAACTATTACTTCTTAAGTCTATATTCGTTCACTATTAGCCTTAAATATACATTCATAATTTTTAAATTGTTTACTTGTACTACACATATTGCATCTTTAGTCGTAACATCTAATCTAACTAATATTAGAAATGCGAAAGTTTGGATGAATGGGTGGATGGATGGATGGATGTTTCTTAGAGTTTGTATCCGTAACGGCTGAACGGATTTCGATGAAATCTGGTACAGATGTATAGGATAACCTGGAAGAACACATAGGCTACTCAGTATTGCTTTTTTTTAATTTCGCACGGACGGAGTCGCAGGCGAAAGCTAGTTATAAATATAAATAGGCAATTTTCATGTCTTGTATGATTCGATAAAATAGTATTTATTACTTCGATAGCCGGGTTATCGAGTTCATAATATTTCACATAGATAAAGTCACGATGCAAATAACTCGAGCCTCTATGCCGATCAGTTTGTGTAATGTATTGAATAATGGCTGTTTTTACCTTTTCAAAGAACTACCAGAATGAACGTGGAGTATAAAAACCATGACATTGTATTTTAAAACATAGTCAATGTAACTAGTATGTAGTTAGTACATGTATGCAAGCTGCTGGTACTTTATCGTCAACATCAGCCTTTATTTGCCCAATGCTGTTTTAGGTCATCATGTCAAATTATCAAAATCTGACCAATGATTTAAGAACGGATAAAGGCAAAAAAATTTTTTTGTGCAAACAACTAATATAGAATTTGAAATATTTCGAACTATTTTTATAATTTAGAATCACACCGTTTTTTAATAGACTCTTCTTCGGCATGGTTAGAACGGCATATGTTTTTTTGTTATTACGACTTCGACAAATATACGACACTAATTCAACCTATTCAAAACTATGTGCCCGGTTCATACATAGCCAGTATAGTCAGCAATGCTCAATAAATGACTGGTACGCAACTGGCCAAGTGTGATCCATGCAATAGTTCCTACCCTCTTTATACTTAGGTGCAACAGCGGGCTATGGAATTACGTATTCAGATAGCCGTGGCATTCTGACGCAACCGAAGTTACGAAGTTAGCAGATATTAAGCCATCAATCATATTGGAAACAGATGCAACGTAGGGTCTTGTGTGCTGAGAAGTCCAACAAATTTGTCTTTAATTAAACAATAAAATAAGAAATGATACAGTAACATAAATGTTGATTTATGTGCAATGCAATATGCAACGGTCTGCTCGTTCGATATAGCCGGGCGGCGGGAGTGCGCGCATGCGCAGAATCGATCTCACCCGCCGCCACCCGGCACGTGTACACCTCCCAACCCTGCCGAACTCAACCCGTTCCCTTACCGGCTCAACGAAGTTACACTTAATAAGTACTAATTATGTTTCAACATACCCTGGTATCACGGAAGGGGGAAACAGTTTAGACAAAAAATGTTAACTTGTACTTGATCCATAGACGCACTTTTCGACAGTTTTACAAAGGGATCAGATAAACAAGCGGCAATATTATCATTTTAAAAAGTACCACATTGATACCCTTTTTCCAAACCTTTAGATCGCCCTTGTTTACCGTGATCATGACACCAGCTAGTTAGCGAGCCTATTTTAGAATATAACGTGGAAACCAGACCAAATAAGATGTAGTGAGAAGGATTAAAACGTAGGAAAATAATGAAGGTATAACAATCTAAGGCTTAAGTGATAAAATCAACGAAAACGCTTTAACCATAATATCAAACAGAAGGAATGGAATGTCTCAAACTGAAAGTAGTATCATAGAAATGAAGAATGTTTGTTAAGGTTAGGAATTAGGAGCACGCAGGTTAGAATATAAAAATTTCTAACACATAACAAAAGGTGGTGTCTATTTTGCTGTTACTCCGTAGAATTAACCCTAATATAGCTGACATTTAGTTAGTAAAGGTGAGATACCGATTTGATCCTATATGATTGATTAAGCTGGAAGGCAGCGAGGAGGGTTGAGTTGGGCGGCGCCGCCGGGGGAGGCTAGAGGACGCGCTGCGGGGGAGGAGCGGTGCAGCTGCCGGTGCACTGCGTCCCCTCCCCCGCTGCCGGGGGGATTCCGCGCCGGCCCATTGCCAAGTTCAATGCCAAGGTCATGCGCGCGCGAGTGCGCCTGCGCGCCGCAATGCAGGAGCGCTCGCCGGCCGCCGTTCGCAGCCGTCAGTGCCTTGCCGACGTTCGATACACACACACCGACGCGCTTCAATCACATACTTCCGCAACAACACTAAACTGATACGGCCCAATAGTCCTCCAGATAAGTTCATAGACGGTGTCAATGGCGGCCAACAAAACGTGTAAAGATTGGTGCACACCATGTGATTTGCTGACGGTAGCGCGTCGGACGCGGCCCAAGATTATGCAATATTTTCATAAACGCACCGCCCCATCCGGTAAGTACCATAACTGACTGATGTTGTTCAAAATTTCCATCAACAAGGAACTATTTTAGCGTTGGTGGTTATTTCACGCTTTAAAGACTTTAATATTGAAATGTGGCAATTTGAGGAAAACCTTCAATGACGTTAGGTTATAGCAGTAGCCATATTTGTTTTAGGCATTAGATAGACAACCAATAGATGAAATCTTGTTGACTTTGTCTTAGTTTTGTCTATATCTATAGTGTGTATAGTGATTATGACAAAGTGTTCAATATTTCATAATATGTATGGTAATAGACTATTAAGGACGTCATATTAAAACGTGAGTTATTTTACGGATGGACGAAGACTCGGCAAGAAGGGAAAATCATTATTAATTTGAGAAACTAATTCATAGGTATTTCTTTTAGTTTATGCCGACATTCGTATTAGCCTTGTACATTTTTTTGTGGGTACATAGCTATTCATCTCAATGAGCAATTTATCCGCCATTTTGATATTTGGAACATAGAATACGAGACAGGCAAGTTTGTAAAAGGATTGTTAGAATATATCTCTATCTAGAAAAAAATAACGTAGTAAGTACCTTCATGGAACCAGACAAGATAGTAGTCTTTATTTTGCTTTGATGGTCTCTGATTGGATCTGATAATTTCATGTGTTGCCTGTACATACTGGCCTCTTTAACACCCCCCCCCTGCCCTTCCGTTCTTCTACCACAATTAAAAACTCGTTAATCAAGAGATTGCACATAGTTTTACGCGAGATCAACTTCAGAATTTCAAAATTGTTGTCTAAACTTTCGTATAGAGTATCAAGGGCATCAAGAAAACGACAAAGGGCCCGAGATTAAAACCGAAATGCTCGTATCCTGTTCGAGACGGTCCGCAAAAAATGTCCAAGTGACGAGTTCAAGGCAATCGGGTGATCCCAGACTCGTTGCCTAGCCAGCTAACTGGGCTACGAATGCTAACTTACAATTCATTGGTTCCTGCGTAAATAATCGTATGAAAACAGAATTTTAAACATTGTGCAAATGCAATTTCGAGTTATTATTTACGTTCTTGCTAAATGTTCAATCTAACAATAATACCTATGATCTGCCTACATTGAAGATATGAGAAAAAATATGAGGAAATAATACTTCTATGAATATTTAGATGTATATTTTTTAATTTGTTCTTTTTAAAGACGATTTCTTATTAGGAAACTGCATTTTGACAATAACAAAGTCTTTTTATTTTAAACTAATAACATATTATTTTTTTATTAGTATTTATTCCATATTGAAATCATTATATAAACGACTAGTATAAACGAAGAGTTAATTTTAGATCTCAAAACGTTTCATTGGAATGAAACCTTAAAAAGCTGAAGTAGATTTCAGTACAAACACAAGAATGAGATTGCTAACATGCCAATTATAAGCAAACTTTGGAAAGACGTAATTTTGTAGGAATTAATGATTGTAATTTAGAATAGTACTGTTATGAATTATAATCACATGACTTAACTACATAAATATAATATAAATATAAAGAATATTCAACCACTTTACAGACTATTAAAACCCTGATTGATAGAGTGACCATGTTATAAATGTGTCCCAAAAAAATTCTTTAAGCCAACTAAAATTATTTCTGTTCCGTTTAAAGTTAAATTTAAAAACCAAGTTAAAATTCCATTGAGTAACAAATCATCAACTTCTTTCTCCTTAGCCTACTCCCGTATTATCGACGCACTAGGTTTTTATCCTCAACATAACTATCATACGTCATCTCAGTCATCACTCCCTTTTTTATCATATAACCTTTTACGCGATCCATTCATCTCTTTCTAGGTCTACCTCTACCGGTGTACCCTTCCACACTAATAACTAACATTATTCTTGTTAGATGAGATTCATCCTATTGAGAATAAATAAATTAAGAATTTTAAATGACAAGTAACATATTTATTTCCGCTCTATGTGTCATTGTGATTTGTTTATACACGAACGTACGTGTCTAATGGTTATTTTACATTGTAAAAAATAAAACACATTGAACGACATTATAACATGTCCTGTAAAAAGAAAAAAATATTTATCAAAATTAAATAAATATAAAACATAATAGTTATACAAAAGGAAATATTTTTCCACATACGTTCGGCTCGTGGCCTCCCACATCATAGCTTTACCTTGAACTCGCGCTCGCGGTGTCTGCATAACAATTATCCAATACAACACATACATTAAATCAGATCTCGTTTAATATCATTAAGATATATCTATATTGTTTAAAGTATCTGTTACGTGCGTCATTGCGTTACAATTGATACACTGCTGCAAAATGCGAAGTTTTTATTTTCGATCTCATTTTGTAGTCATAAACGCAGCGCAAGGTTAACCACTTGAACAAAAATTATATTTTAATTTATCTATAGGATTCATTTACTGATAGAAACCTAAACTGAATTTTAATTTGTCTAAGTTATTGTCACCCTAGGCTAAACTATATTTTAAAAGAAATAGTTCATTCGCAGACGAAAATTGGTATCACAATTCCCCGGTCTTTTATGATTCTAATCGAGAGGTTAGAAGCCTTGTGCTCAGTAAGGATCTTTTTTAAACACAAGTTTTGTAAGAAACGGGAAAATTATTACGGAAGATAGATCGATATGGAGGACGAAAACTTTGTGTGCCTACCTTATTGAGTGGGATAAGGACAGGTAGATGACGTTTACATTTCTGTCAACATCCGAAATTCAATAACGATCTTGGCATGTGTATAAAACCTATTTCATTGTTTCATTACTGTGAACTAAAATTAGAACCTCGGTTATGAATAGTTCATGGAGTAAGCCGTCAGCAATTTCACATTGTTTGACTTAGGGTAGGTTACGAGCGCCTCAATGGGGACGTTTAATGAGCTTGACTGATGATAATATAAGAATGCACTTTAATAATACTAATAATATATAAACACAATTCCCGGTGTATCCAATTTCGAAAAACTTGGACGACAGTGTAAAATATTTAAAGTTGTTTGGACAATAACATCTTATATAACAATTTTAACGTAACTTTCTCTTGAAGCAAAATTATTAATAACGTTGTTACATATTAGATTCATTATGTCTCAATTCTATTTAATTTTAATAGTAGTGTCCTACTTTTCTTAATCCATATTGTCATCCTAGTATCAGCTGATAGGCGCGTCACATTGACGTCTCGTCGGTAACATGGCGGACAATATGGCGGACTGTGTAATGTTTATTTACAACGTTCGCATTAGTCACAGCGGAGTCAAACGAATGAGCACGTGTAAAAATATTGCAGAAGATATAAGACGCCTTTATCATTTATGTTGGGTGAACTTTTATGACAAATTACATTCATTGATAATCAGGTGATCGAAACTATTTTTTTTGTGCCTGACTGAAATGAAAAAGTTTAGATGGATGGATGGATGTTTGTTAGAGTTTGTAGTCTAAATAGCTGAACAGGTTTCGATGAAATGTGGTATAGATGTAGAGGATAGTCTGGAAGCACACATAGTCACATTCTGTTTTTTTTTTTTAATACCACACGGACAGAGTCGCGGGCGAAAGCTAGTACTTACATAAACTGTTAGGTAACAATTATTTTTTTCTAAAACCTTAGATTAATATTTCACATAAATGTTACTAATAATAAATAATCGTTATTAATAAAGCTATAGGCTAAAACATTTCCAGTGATATTAAACCACACATGATGAGATCATTTTTCCACTTGGGATTTCCCTCGTTTGTGTCCACGTGTTATACTGACCCTACATTTTAAAAATCTATTCGTTCATTTAATTTAAAGTCTATTTGATTACAGGCACATTTAATCATAACAATAAAATGATTGTTTTAACTTTTTTGGAGTATTATTCGACATTATATTCAGTTCCATCTTTTATATTCATAGAATCATATTTATGTTCGATAAATTCACTAACCTGCGCCAAAATTTATTCAATAGGTCATTGACACTTTTATCGTATTTGATACTAAAATATTTTTAGTTATTTGTCAACATTATATCATAAAGTTTGATCCCCTACCGTTTTTCTTTAGTACATAATACCAGTTTTCTATGTCTTTTAATCCTTGTCTGATTTGACTCCTTACTCATATCCACTTTCAAGTATTCATCCATACTTTCTTTGCCCCCCTCTCCTTTAAAACCATCCACATTCATTCTTATAACTTTAATCTCTCCATAACATGTCCATTCTCTAGCCGTATACTTAACATATAGTCTGACGTCATAATAAAATATAATGATTTATATCCGGTTGCCGTTGCCTAGCAACTGACATGCATGCGTGCATCACGGATATTGCGTAACACGGCAGTTTCCATATATTTCTTAATCTCATACATACACATACACATACACATACACATACACATACACATACGTGTACGTCGAACTAAGAATATCACATAAATCGACCATCTTGTAACTCGCACACTAGTAAACACGCGCCATTTTGCGAGCGCCGTGTGCGGCTTTTGTGCACGGACGAATGCAGCTTGCGCACTGCACATGCGGCGAGGGGGACGCGCGGCGGGGGGCAGAGAGGGGCAGGGCCAGGGCCGGGCAGACCTTGAACGCGCCTAGCAACAGAGCTGCCAACTGCACCACACTTATTTATTTCTGTTTTACTCGTCTGCACGTTCGCTTGCAATTTAAAACGGAACGTTTTATGTAGTCATAATGGTGCAGGCGGGGTTAGAAATACGCCGTCAGAAGCGTTTCTATTCTTTTATAGATGGCACACTTTGGTTCATCTTTGTTGTCAATTTATGACACTATGTGTGATTTCGTCTTATTTAGTCACTTTAAAAAAAGTATTTTGAAAAATTAATAAAGTTCCTGAAACTCAACTCTACGAATATAATCAACATGTTATGTGAATGAATAGACTTTACTTGATATGTCATCATATAAATATGTTATAGACAAATATTTGCAAATATGGAAAGTATCTTAAAATTGTGGTTATCTTTGCAAAACGGCCACTATCAGTATCATTCCTGTCTCGTGCAATGACTAACTGCTTTGTTATCGCGATAATATTGCTATGTAAGAAGTTACAGCACCTAGACATAACAAAGTAAGATTTTTTCAAATATAACACGTCTGTTATGTTTTTTTAACCTTAACAAAACAATATGTAATTGTTAAAGTTGGAAATAATCTATCATTAAATAAAACCATTGTAATTATAAACTAGAGATGGCGTATATCCTAAAATAAGTAACACTTTTAGTTTATAAAAACCAAAAACACTACAGCCTGTACCCACTATGACACTCAAGAGGGGAACACGAATAGAATGTCATGTCACTCATCAGAATTGGTTCAGCCGTTTAGGCACCAAGTGGTAACAATCGAAACTTAACAAGCCCACATACGTAAAAACTATGCGCAATAAACGTACGACGACAACGAAAACGTTAAGACGGTCAGGTAAAAAAATTTTGCAAACCATCTCGATCACTAAATAAAAATTGTTTACAATAATTTTGGATTTTTCCAAAGATTTTTTTTTATTAATCTCATACGACCGAATACTTAAAAAACATTTAGATATGTAACACCATCTTAAATGAGAAGAAACTTGATACGTTAACTAAAAATTAGTTAAATTCCGATGTCGATTAGTGTGCATTTCGTAGTAATATTTGACCGATAGACATTATTTGATTTGACGTGGCGTATTATTTGATCGGTTTGTCGTATGTTTTTGAAACCCGCTGTATATCAAATCAAGACAAAGTGGAAGCCGGATATTACAACACTAGCGTAGTAACATTGAACATGATACTCTCACGATATCGCCGACCGGCCTTAGCATTACCACACTATCGGATTTCCACTCTACCGGGCCCCCACTTTTATTATTAGATTATAATACAACATTGACAATGTTAACACGATTTGTTATGTAAGGTGTGAAACGTAATGTTGTACAAACCAATAATATATAGTTAAGATTTTTGTTTGTAGTAATAATATGCTTAAATGAGTAAACGTCTATCGTACTAACATTATTTATGCGAAAGTTTAGATGGATGGATTCTTGTTAGAGTTTGAAGCCTAAACGGCTGAACGGATTTTTATGTAATTTGGTATAGATGTAGAGAATTGTTTGGAACTATACCTGCCGCTGAGTTCCGTCATCGCACGAGTCGACAGAGTGCCAAATATCATCGATACCACCTCGATGGTTGGCATTCCACAACGACGAGGTTTTCACGTACATTCTTACCTCGTACAGTCGCGTTGTGGAACACTCTGTCCTCAGCGGTATTTCCAAACAGTTACGACTTAGGGGCCTTCAAGAAAAGAGCTTACTCCTCCCTTAAAGGCCGGCAGCGCATCTGCAGTACCCTTGGCATTGCGGATGTTCATGGGCGTCGGATAACTTAATATCAAGCGATCCGTTGCTCGTTTGCCCGCTTTTCTTATAAAAAAAACTCTGGAAGAACACATAGGTTACTTACTTTTGTTTTTTTTTTTAATTCCATGCGGACGGAGTCGCGGGCGAAATCTAGTCTGTAAATAAAAGAATAACGTGAATGTGTACAAATTTACAAAACATTAGACAAAAATCATAGTCACGTATTCGCTGATAGCATGAATTAGTAGTCAAAAACATGTGATTGCATACAGACTAACCAATTTTTGAGACAGAGGCAGTTTCTTAAATCATCGTGGTGTAAACCGTAACACGTGGTTTTACACATAATTTTAAGATAAGGCATGATTGATATGTTTATGTGAATATTTCTACACATTTAGGATATTACGCACATGTAAGTTGATATTAAAATATTTTCATCAACACGGACTGTCTTTAACACATCTTTTATCTATGGTTCATGTTTCTAATCCCAACTAAGCTGTAAACAGGTTATAAAAACACAACAAATAAAATATAAACTAATTATTCCAACAAATTGCCGTATAATATTGCCGTTTTACGTATATTTTATCTGTATATCGAAGTGCTTCGTGTTACGCAATCGGGCCGTGTAAATCAATTTAGCTCAGCCCGGGTTCTAGGCATCCAGGTCTCCCCGGGAGTGCCCTTTGACATTATCCAGTGTGGGTGTTCGAGCGGGCATGCGCAAATCCTTCCCCACCCGAACCCCTTCCTAAACCCCCCAAGCGTGGGCAGATGACGCAAAACCAAGTACTAGCGATCGTTTATGGCTATATTTAGAATTCCCGCTACATTTTTACTGACTAACAAAGGATATTTAAAAATATTAAAGTATAGATAATAAAAAATCATAGATTTCTACAAAAACTAAAAATTACTTAATATAATTTGAAGCTTACATCATAGCATATTATGAAAGCTTAGATGGATGGATGTTTGTTAGAGTTTGTAACCTAAAGGGGTGGACGGATCCCGAAAAAAAAATTGGTATAGATGTAGAGGATAGTCAGGAAGAAAACATAGGCTACTCACTTTTGATTTATTATATTCCACGCGGACGGAGTCGCAGGTAAAAGCTAGTTGTATATAAGGTGACCATCGTTTTTAAATTATCGTAAAATATTGAACGTCACAATTATCCTGTCTCTAAAATTACTATAGATAGCTGTTGCTCGCGACTTCCTCCTCGTGAAATTAAGAAAAAGAGTAAAAACATAGCGTATGTTACTCACTGCTAAAGTAGCTTTTTAATGGTGCAAGAATTTCTTAAATCGAAACAGTAGTTTTTGAGTTATTTCAATACATAAAAAAAGTCTTTCCCTTTAAATTGTTAGTATAGATATTAAAGAAACTATTGCATTCATAGGTATTTTCTGTTACCTACTGAAAAACAATAAAAAGACGCATGAACGAGTCAGTCAGTGAGTCAGTTGGGTGGGACTTGTGCATTCAAACGTACTTACAGTCTGTGCTATATTTGTAAGTCATGTGTAACTCTGAATCGAGTCATACAGTTTTTGTGCAACTATGTTTTTGAAGGAATGTTTTAATATTTCTTTGTAATAATTAGAGAAAGTGCTAGGATTATTATTAAAAAAACTTTTTTTATAATTACAAATAAGTAAATGTCAAATGAATCGACATACATTTTTTGTCAACACTAACGATCGTCATTTGTCTTTAGTTTTGGAAGTCCCCGTTTTCCTTTACTAAAAAAAACTAGAAAAAAATACAAAGAGCTTCAGCTGTATGTTTAAAATCCTTTTTTTTATTTCAGGCACTGGCTGATTGCCGGCAGATAGCATAACGAGGTGAGTTTATATCTCGTTTAATTTACCATAACAAAACGCGTGACGATACCAGCCCGATAGGGCTGTCACGTATTGAATGCACAGAATGTCGCCCGTTTCGATAAAGAGCTATGTTTTTCCTGTTTAATAACTGTTAACTTTATATGCGATAATGTACATTATTATTGTTATTTAATACATTGATGTAAATGGTTTAGGTTTCGCGTCATCCGAATTTTAAAGCGGCTTGCATTGAACGAAATGCTATCAGCGGAATGTTTGTCACTAAACTGTCAATATCTGGTACATTTACCTTTGTTAATAATAATAATAAAGGTAAATGTACCAGATATTGAGATATCGTTACTTAGTTTGATGATTACAATGGTCTTTCTATGTTTATAAATGACCTCTATTTTATTCAATTCTTTAATCAATTTGTGAAAAACTGTTCATATTTTTTTGTCTTACATATTTATTTAATTCTTAACACGAATTTTCGTATTAAGATTTACAACAAAACTTAACGATTTCAGCCTATGACGATATTTTAGTAATTTTCAAGATTAGATAAACTATCGCAATTCGTAACGTATAGCAATTCGGAAATCGCTTTTCTCAAATCTTTTCTTTAACTAAATAATTATTTTCCAAGTGTTTATTGGAAATTATCTATTAACGTATTTATATTGTATTGATAATTGCTTCTACTTACTACAAGATCCTCTAAATTGCAAAAGAAACACAAAAGCATTTTAAAAAAAAGTAGGCAATCTCTAAATAGGTTTCAGTGTCAAAAATCTTACAAGAAAAACCATTATTAGATTCATTGTAAATATTAAAAATATCGAAAAACTTAATAAAACCATTCCGAGCAAAACTCAACGCCTGACAAGTGCAGTAGGGTATATGTGTGCGTCTCAAGGTCAAGGTTGGCACGTGTGGCGGTGTGAGGGGCGCGGCGCGGGGAGGACGCGTCCCCTGTGCGGTCCCCCCTCCGGCCCCTCTTTTAGCGTTCCTTCGCGAATTTTTCAAACCGTTCCCCATCAAATACCACGACAGTTTTAGCTTATAAGTAGGTATATAGGTCAGATTCTTTAGGTGAAGGATGACGGTGTGGTTTTGTTTTGTTTTTGAAACCAGTTTTGCGATACCTTGGATGGTTACCTTAGTGGTGTTCGATTTGTGGACTCATTCGTAAGCCTGTTTTCTTTATACGCATATCAGTTCTTAGTGATTGTTTTATATGTCAATGGTCGATCGAAGTCATGCTTAAAATAAAGTGCATCGAGTTGGATTTTTTGAACAACAATATAGCCTAGCCTTCCATAAGGTCACTTCTTTAGGACGTGTTCTGAAACTTGGTAAGCGGTTTTAAAAAAAATATAAACGACTTCATTGTATTATGAAAACTAGCATGTAAGTATTTTGTAATTAACACTATCGTTTAATTTTATAACCGTCTTGTCAAGTCATTGTGGTTTTAGCGCATCGTATTATTTTATCGATGCTCTAACACTCAAAAATGTGAATAAACGGTCCGATTTATATCCTTTGCGATATCTATTATAATATTTTGAATATTTATGTGTTTGAAATAGTATAATTATCGTATTATATAATTAAATACATTAATAAAAAAGCTATAGTACAGTTTCAACGAGAAATAATTTCAGGTTGAACAGAGCCATCTGTTGGAAAATAGTGAAAGAGAAATGAAACCTAATGCCTGAGTTTTAATCATATTGTATAGCAGGGAACACAGATGGCTCTGTCTACCTTTTACTTCATAGAGGTCGCTTTTACCTACTTTCTCTTGTTTTCATAAAATCTTGCATAAAATGTTACTTATGTATTTGTTTTCTTTTGCTTTCATTTAAATAAGTACGTTTATTTATTTGATTAAAATAACATGAATAAAGTTAAAAAAAACAACTTACAATTTCATATTTTACAGTCCGTACAGAACTTTAATTAGTTGTCTATGATTTTTTGGCTTATTTAGCTGGTCTACGGCATCATGACTTCTGTGCAAGATCTTCGGGCTATTGAACGACCGGGTGCCACGCTGTGCTCTCTCGGGAATTAGGTCGAGTGAACACAGCTGGTGGTATCTCAGTTGTTCTCTAGTCTTCCACTATATAGAAGATATAGAAGAATCTAGAACTTGAAGAAAATCATTACCATCGCTATGAAACGAAAGAAAAAAGAAGAGTCTTGCGAGCAACAAGCAATCCTGTATCGTTTTTATATTCTTTTTAAATACTAAAAGAGTAATAAAATTAACACAGAATAACACAACTTGCATCGGTTTATTTGCTATGATTATGTACATGTTTATCGAATAGGTCTTAAAACAATTTTTTTTCTTTCTGTCCATGAGAAGTTTATACATTGTTCCAAATAAAACTTAAGTTTTGTTTTGTACAACTTTAGTAAACACTCGTTGAAAATGCTGTAAATGCATCAACTGTCTATGTTCTTAAATTTCATTAAGAACATAGACAGTTGATGTTCTAGAAATGTTTTCATACACGAAATTTAATGAAAAGTTCAGGTTGACTTGTTTAAAATGTTTAAAATTTGATTTGGTTCAGCTCATAGTAAAAATAGAGGCCTCTCTCATACGCAAGATTTCTGTTCTGTATTGTACGTGTTCGGTCTATTTATATTTATTTTTAATAATCTTCGCGTAATATCCTTTTGCCCCGGAGTGTTCGATTGTTAACCCACTTATTATACAATGCATGTATTTTCTATCAAATATTCTGTTCTCTTATAGTTAAGTTGCAATAAATGGAGATGTTTATAATATAAAAAAATCTTTACCTTTACATTTTCAATATTACATATTCAACTGATAAATTAGATGTCGCCTAGTTTACCTTGTCTGTAAATACTGTTAAAGAAGTGACCTAAAAGAAATAATTATTAAAAAACAAAATAAATTTAATACTCAAATGCACTATGACTTCGACTTTCATCTAGACAGCTAAATGAAATAAATCTGAATTATCAAAATTTTCTTTATTTCGTTTAATGTAAAGTTAAATCTACGAAAACAAGGCAACAGGTAAAATTGCAAGGATTTCGTGTATTGTGGTTATCATAAAAACTTGCATATGGTACTAGAAACACTGTACACAAATGAATGCAGAGTAGTTACTTATGGATTGTATTATATACTAACTGTTGCTCGTGACTTCGCCGCATGAATTTAGACAATTTTAAATTTGACAATTTAGACAAAGTCTATGTTACAGATAAATTACCTTTCTAACGGTGAAAGAATTTTAAAAATCGGCCCAGTAATTTTTGAGTTATTTCAATACATACAAAAATACAAATCTTTCCTCTTTATATTAGTATAGAAGATAGATAACCTTTAAATGTTATATTGTCTGTCGTCTTCCACTTGGATTGTTGACTCCAAAGTATTGGTTTTATTTTAGGAGGAATCTGTAGATCGAATGAATTATATATTTGCGTCCAAGATCTTTGCAATAGAAACGAGATGATCATGTGCGGATGAATACTTTCCTTTCAAGCGCAGGTAGTGCTTAATGAAGTTGTTTATATTACAAGAAGCAAACGTACGTCGAATGCTCGGCTCTACTCGATAGGGTTGTAACTTCTTTGAGTTTAACCCGAATTCTCGGTTTTGGTAGTCTCGGTTATTTGAATGTTTTCGGGTTAGTGTGTTATGATACAAGTCACTAGATGTCGTTGGCTGCTAAGGACCTAGGGAAATAGTTTTCTTCGTCTTCCGACAAGGAATCAAGGGTTCACAAAAATGGTAATTTAATTGATTGTGTTTTGTTTTTTAGTATTGAATCCACTTTTATTGACATTTGGCAGCCCTATTTGGAGGTAAACGCGCGTATTTTGCGGCGAGGGAAAGTCGCGATGATATCTGTTTACGGGCAACGCGTCTTGGTTTTACTTTTTTTTGAGCCACCGTATCGGGTATGTAGGTGAGCTGGTACTTGTCTCGATGAACGCAATTAAAACTTGTAAGAGAAAAGGTAGCCATTCTTTATGTTTAATATTCGGAGATGGGTTTGTTTTGAATTTTCATCGAATAAAATCCTCGCTTAAAACTAGCTATTGAACGTGTATATGTTACACATTATGTCTATATATCTACATATTATTTATGTAATCCTCTTTACTTACACTACCTTATCTGCAACTGAAGTTTCGAGAGCTGCACTAGACATGACAATAGACTTTGTAAGATAATAGATGGAGACACGTGTTTTGTCTTCGTACTTCTGCCAAACTTGATATCTATTATTGGTATTACATTTACATGATGTAGGAGCAAACGATAGCATACATTTATTTTAGTGTGCATTTCCACTGGCGATGCTCACACACTAAAACACATGGTCATTTCCCTATAGTTCTTTCCCTAAATTTAGTATGACAGAAAACATATGGTTAGGATTATAAGGTAATCAAAGCATTGATGTTTATGGGCAACGGTTACTTCGCTATTTGGGCGAATTTAGGTTTGCTTATTTGCCTTCGGAAACTATAAAACTTGACACCTACAAGTCAGCTTTTATTAGTTCTTCGATAAATAGTAAAAGCGTGTTTATCTTCACGCTATGGCCTTTAGGGGACTGACAATGAGTTAGTATAATATACAAGAGTTCCATACGTAATGTTGTGCGGTTTCATAGTAACAGCTGCAGACTTATTAAATTTGCCCTGACACCGCATTACAGCTTGCCATGTTAAAAGTGCTCGCTCGCTACCTTATTATTTAATAATAATAATTTGATTAGGAACCTCTTTTACCTTAATAACGGTACGATTAATTAAAATGTATACATATATCGTAGAAAAACATAGAACAGATAAAAAATTCTCTTTCCGGCCTAATATGTCAAATAGTATGCAACGCATCTGAGAAAGGAAGAAGTCTATAAGTGACGGTTACTTCGCTGTTATGGCGAATTTAAGTAGCCGCTTGCTCGTCGCCTTGTAATAAAAGAAATGTTTTTTGTAAATATATCGTGGGTCAAAACGAGTAGTATGGCTGTGATGTCAGGTTTTAAATGAGTTTACATGCTGCAATAACTGCAAAGGTCAGTAATGCACAAACAAAAAACATTACGTAAGTCACAAGGTGCTAAAAGGTTTTTAAGTTACACTTTTATTATCAAATGATAATTAGTAAAATTATTTGTTGGTTGATCACTACTTGGAAAGATACTTAATATTAACACATCTAAATGCGAAAGTGCGGATGGATGTTTCTTAATTATCTCGATGGAATTTGCCACAGATATAATATAGTCTGGAAGAACACATAGGCTACTTGTTAAGTTTTATTCCGCCTGTACGAAGTCCCGGGCAAAAATTAGTATGCTAAAATTTGTTTTACAATATGGTAAAACCGTAGTGTAATTTTTATTTAGATTTTTTGTTTTTAATGAATGTTGTTGTATGTACATATGTGTGCTTGTATCTTTGTCAGGTCCTGACTTGTGGCCGAATGAACCCGCTTTGACAGTTATGCGATTTTTTTAAATCTCTACATATAATCAAATTGGACTGTCTGTTTATAATATAAAAAGAAAAATCCCAGATTTCGGGGAGATATTGGTGATTACGAAAATGTCATTTAATTTTTTTTATTTTGTCGGACCGCAAGCGGCTTTTGTTCCGGGTCATCTCCGAAACGGCTGGAATGATTTCGACCGGTCTTTCACTGAAGGGTAGCTGACGTAGGCGGGCATATTATATAGTACTTTTTTATTTTTGGATAAAATCGCGCAACAGCTAGTAACAAATATTGTTTTTCTACTTTATTGTACAACGTTAGTAACATTTTCGTACGTTATCTAAATACTTTATTAAATATGATTAACATATTGTATCGTTAAAAATAGTATCAGCTAGATATACTTATTTGTATGATACCTAAAAGGTTGACAGTGACATGTATCAATTATTCTAATAGCTCAATTAATATTCAACAAATACCTTGTTCGAACCTTGTCAAGAAAACACGTACAAGTTATAGACAAGTAATGGAACGTGTATGAAGTACCAACTTTCATTTATTAATACTTCCAAAATAAAAATAAAACAAAGCCCCCACAGACTTTTTATTGGCTGACAATTTAATCGGTTCGGATTGCAAATCTAATAAAACAATCGGTGTAAAGTGCGAACCTACACACAGATGAAAAGTACGGGGGGAATTACAATGGCCAAGTAACAAAGCGTCATACACAATTTGGCAGTAACATGTAGGCCCAAATGTTAGCCGTTTGGATATAAACTGAGGTAATATAAAGTGGAGACACAATGTCTTGGCACCACCGTGTCTGAATAACTTTGGCCGGACGCGGGCGGGACACCGCCAAATGTCGATGCCAGCGGCATCTGGCTCATCCCTACGTTACGTGAACGTATTAATATAGCGGGCAAGGGCAGCGATTAAGGCCCTCACGTGATACTATAAATTCTACACCAATATGACCTAACAATATTATACAATTATTCACTACTGCCTTACGCCCGCGACTCCGCTTGGAACTAAAAACGAAAATAGCCTATATGTTCTTCCACACTATGCTACATCAATACCATATTGCACGGAAATTCAGCCGTTTAGTCTACAAATTCAAACCATCCATCTAAACGTCTTTATAATTTTAGTATGAAATATGATTATTATTTGAATGTTTTTCCATCTCATTTCACGTGGCGAAAGACCTAGAAGGAGGTTATAATGGGCGTATAAAAGTAGCCATTTGTTTAAACCAAGACCCCCTTAGTGTTGCTGCGCCGCTTTAGTTACATATTTCAATGTTACAATTACAATGTGTACCATATTCTCAAATTGTCAGTCGCAAGCAAATCCGAGGGTAATAAACACTTACCACAACCTGTACTTACTATAACGATTTTTTTAATTAATAAAATGCATTTTGTGATACAGAGAAAAGCTGATAACTTCATCTACATACGTTACGATTACTAGTTAAGACGAATGACTTCTTGTCCTAGCGCGCTATGGAAGCAAAAGGCTCGCGAAATGAGCAGGTGTCCTTAGTTTGTATTAAGACTTGTCTCTGTTCTATGAAAGAGAATGAAAAGTACGAGATAATGTTTTTAAACAAGTGTTTTCACAATGGAAACCAGAAAGACAATACGTCCGGCTGTACTATAGCTCCTTCAGCTTCCAGTAACGTGCTAGACTAAACGTCGTAGATTTCCTGGTGCGGATTTTCTATAAAATCAGTGTTTTGGTGTGTACTACGTGTATCTTGGACAAAAGGAAAATTAAAATGTTCACACAGCAGCTTTTGCCCGCGACTGCAGCTGCACGGAATAAAATTTCTATATGAATTGGATTTTCGTAAATTTGTATTTTGGATGACTTTCACTCCACTTTCAGTATACCTGTGTTGTTTTAATGTGTTGAAAATATTGGATCAGTAATGAAGTGCATCAACATAATTCAGTGAAAATTTAATGTGAAATTATATAACGACTCCACCCCAACGACTAGAAAGATCGCAAGTTCAATGTCGCTCGCTCCCCGGGCCTAGAAGCAACAGCTGGATCGATAGAGCCTCCCAGCGGAACTCTCCACATCACCATGGCGACCTGCAGCCGTGACCTGCTGGGGTGGGGCGCGGGGGGAGGCACGAGGTGGTGCGGGTCGGGGCGGGGAGGGAGGAGGCGAAGGCCTCTGCCTGCATCGAGCGGCCGGGCTGCACCGAGCAGTTATTTCGGTGCAACTCTATCGCCGCAGTCGCTCGCCGCGCCTCCGATAGCGCGCTCGCGTTACGTCCGCAACGAACACACTTTAATACGCCCCCCTCGTGCACTCTGCCATCGATGCGATACCATCACGTCGACATTGTGTTATATGTACATTGCGTTTTCAACAAATTTTTCATCGCCCTCCGGCGCCGCACCTGTTGCTCGCGTGGTGAAACCGTCGTGGAAAACTCTTTTTCTCGGTAGCGGACGCGTCTACTTTCACCGCTCACATTCCGGCGACGACGGCATCGAGCGCTGAACCAGTAGTCAGTACTCAGTGTACGCGGCAAATTGTATACGTTAATTACGTGTCAACGTTAGTTTCACGTGTCTACCGTTTTCTGCGACGCACTTGTTTATAACCCGGTGATGTATATGTGTATACCTTAAAGATCAATAGGAATGTCGAAAGGAAAACTGCATTACATATTATAATGTCATATTTTATTGATATAGCTTTCCCGGGATGCGTTCCCTGCATCCTTCAAATAACGCTTCAAGGTCATCTGACGACAGGCCACCCCCGCCTTCAGGCAGCCCGGGGTGGCTCGACAAGTGGGCGGCAGCCTCCCGCTTCCTCCCCTTTCATGTACCTTGATATGGAACATTTTAATTGTAATATAAATAGCTATTATTTCTTTGAATTTTCAAATGATTGACATATAATATCACATGTAAACGTGATCATTGCTAACAGGAAAAGTACATATTCAATGTGTTGTAAATTGTAGTCTAAAGTATAAAAGTAATAGTTGAGTCACGATAACTGATTGGTTATATGTCTCCTTCGGAAATGGAGACCTCGGATCAAATCCAGTACGTGTACACAAACATTCTATGCATGATGATTAGAAATGCTATCTGTTAACATTGTACGAAATCCGTGATGTGGATGAGCTTAACTATACAAAAATATTTGAATGGAAAAAGCTAGTTATAACATAACACATTGAGTTTATTTTTATTCATGTTTTCATTAACTGAGCGTTACAAAACGGAGCAAATCACAAGATTTTATCAAGTCAGTGTAATCTCTTTATTAATATAGACGTACTTAGGTGAGGACGTATTACTTTACTGAGTGCATACCTGGCTATCGTCCAGGGATGCACCGGTGAAGGTTACGGGGAGGCGGGAGCTCTCTGGGGGCGGGGGTTGCGAGTCCCGGGCGGGGTAGGGCGGGGGAGAGGATGCAATCCCGAGCATTGCGCAGGACCCCCCTGGACCCGGCCAGGGCTAGATAAATCAATTCGCTCGCGACCTTTGAACAGCACGAGTGCATTTCAGGTTTAGCTGTTTCAATGTAATTTATTGGAAGTTTAAATTGTAAACTCGACTGATAGGGAATTACTGGGAATAGAAACGAAGTAATAATAATGAAAAGTAAAGCGGAAAGCATAAACAAGTAAGTTGTATTTATGAAGTTAATTTGCTGCAATGTTGATTCGTTTTTGTTTTTATATTTAAACATTTATGGGCTTTATATTTTTTTTATTTCGTAGTTAGTGTTGTAATAGTCATTTAAATTTCTTATAATATAAAGCGGATATTTCTCAAGTTTCTTGTAAACTGTTTTGCAACCGGACTGATCGTAAAGTTGAATATTTCTGAATCATAAGAGAAATTAACAAAAAAAAACAAGAATCGAAGACCGATTTCGACAACGGAAAAGATATAAACACGGCTTTTGGTAAATTTTATCTGATTCACAATATTAAAAGGCAGAGGCAGTAAAATTAAAAACCATATAACCGGGTTGAGAGGAAAGGTCAAACGTAGGCGTTGGGCCATCACTTTCATCTCATAAATACTGAGGAACGTAAACAAGCAAAATGATATTACATTACTGACAATTACAATAATCCCAAATTATAAACATTGAGATATATCATTTTTTCATGCCTGAAAAAAACACAATTTGTTTATCGTATTAACCATATGTGTTGAAAGTTAATCCGAATTGTTGAAAGGTATACCCACTGCAAGGGTTAAATAGGCGTTTTGCTATCACTTTCATCTTATACAGCGACATCTTGCGGCGGTAAGCGGTACACGCATGGCTCACGCGGCCATCGCGCGCACGTATGCTAACTTTCGCCGGTGCGACCGTCGACCGTGGTGGCTTTCTAATGTCGTAACAGCGGTGATCGCCCCCGGCTATTGTAATTCACGACACGCCTCGCAACTACACGCGATCTCATTACTTTGCTTTTTTATATGTTTTTTTCACGTGTAGAATTTTCGCAAATCCGTAGAAAGTACGAATGCGATTGCAACTATTTTGTCTGTAGTTAGACATAACGTTAAAGCTGGTTTAAAAAATATTATTTTGGCTCATGCTTTTTCTTAATAGTGTAAATGGATGAGTAAAACGTACACAATAATTTTTAGCTTATCTGTGCATAATAAAATAAAAAATTACCAAAATAACATCGCATCGATATCGATAAAAAGACGGTTATTGACATCAATGATGACCGATATCAATAAAATAATCTTTATTACATACAATAGGTAGCTTCAAGGTTAGCTTAATCATATTTCTGATAGGTCGATTGCGCAAGTCTAGATGTGACCCGACCTTGACCGCGACGTCCTAGGTTGCCTAGGCGTCCTTGGGCGAGCTGCCAGCCTCCCCGCGCCGCCCGGCCCGGGACGCTAGCGCATGCAGGAAGTGGCCGATATCCCCAATAGCGCTCCAGAGCACCAATCAATAAGTCGACCGGGCGTATAAGCTTAATAATTGTAACGAAGCAATTTACCTGCAAATATAAACGAGAACGTTTTAATTTTTATTAACGTTTTCATTTTCTTTCGTTTGCTAATAAACTACATTGAATCTTCAAACGGATTTCAATTTTTTGATAGTTTTAAAAACTTATTCATGACATTCTTGTAATTTCATACAGTTTTAAATAAAAATTTTATTTTTCAAATGAAATTTTCAAATTCTATCTGCCTTACAAATAAACGCAAACAAATAATAACAAAATATTAGTACAAGTTTTGCTTACACTCAGTTTACTCCTAAGTTTAACTTTATACCGCGTTTATTTGTAAGGCTGTATGTCTATTTTATATCACGCGTTCTAGTTTAGAGTAAATAAGCTGCAATTTCCTATTATCATTAGATATTTCTACTCGATTCAATACATAACCGATGCATGTACTTATCGGTGTAGTTGGTCGCGACCTTTAGCAGATCGTGTGCATACTTCTCATTCTATTCACAGCCCGGCCTCGCGCAGCCTCGTAACTGCAGCCGCTCAGCTGTGCCTTTTCAATATTAAATATGTAGTTTACAATATTGATGAATAGACTTCGATAGATCGATTGATACTCTAATAAAACGGAAAGTTCGTAAATATTCTTACTAAGATTGCGCTTTTAAAAATTTTCCAAAAGTCGAAAAACAGCGTGGATCATAAATGTACCGTGGAAAATTGTAAGGAATTATTAGTTAAGAAATCTAATACTAACTACATCTGTAATTTTTTTATTACGACACATAATTTTTTCGAAATTTTAAATTATTTTTTTTTCAAAAAAAAATTCTAAAGAAACCTATAGCTATTTTAAAGTGAAGTTCATTTGTAGATTAATTAAAATTAACTAAACATCTGATGCAATTATATGTCATAAACAATTTGCATTGTAAATTGCGATAGATTAGTAGGCATCGTCCTTTGAATGTATGTCATCAATGCAATTGGATACATGCATAGCTGAATGCATAATATATTTAATGATGTACTTACAAACTATAATATTAAATTAATTTCGTCAATTAGAAATATTAATTAACACCCTTCTCTAATTATGTAACTCCTCCATGTGATAGTTATCTAAATTGGTTACTTTTTAAACTACAAGTCACATTACATCCGTATATCCACGCCCCAAGGTATTTCCCACTTGTCGTTGTCAGCTTCAATGAAACACGTATAGAGTTTATTGCAGTTGTCATCAGCTTAAGAATTTCAGTCAATTCATATTTTAACTAGTTTAGTTACAAATCGAAGTGCCATATAAGAGAGACGTCAGTGATCCGAGCTCGGGATAGTCTTGCGTGAGTCAGTCGACCTTGCGCCACGGCATGCCACCGGCACTTCGGCTACATCACAGAAATATTACTTTTATTACTTCACCGGTTATACGCGACACTTGTACCAATATCAGTTTGTGCACTTCGGCAGTTTTAAAGCACATTGACGCGTCACAAAACGTTAACCTTTTGTTACGGGATGTTACGTTCATTTAATCACTCTCCAAAATTTTTATGATATATTTATTAGAAATTCCATTAAATACTCTTTATAACAATGTATTGGTACTTTTTACTAAAAAAAATGCTACAAACGTAATTAATTATTGCTCGACGCGATATACTTTACGTGAGCTCGTCGTTCGTTTCTAAATATATAAATAATTAATTAATACATTGTTTTCTGTATAAGCGTGAATATAAAGCAGGCAACGTATCTCGTAATGTTTTCGCTTCGCCGCGGCCGCCCGTCGAAATGGAGCAGCTATTTGTGGCGGCCGAGGCCCGCGACATTATCGTAACCGACACACGACTCTCACGAATATCCCAAACGTGCAATTATCCAGAGTAACATGGTACGTAGGCGCGAGGCGGGTTATCGGCTGCGATTGGCCGCATGGCAGAGTGCACGGTGGCCTACTTGAGCGATGCATTTCGTGCTTATCTCCCGCGCGTGCAACCTCCGCAACGATTGATAACAACCGTACCTCTCAGAGTTGCGAGGTAACACCGCGGGGAGTAAAAGCGCGGGGCCGGCGAAAGTGATACGTCGTGAAATCGTAGGAAGAGAGTCGAGTCGGACAGGTGAGGCGGCGGCTTTGCGACCGGCTGCTGCACCGCGCCGTGCGACGAGCGCAGAGCTCGCAGCGGCGAACGAGCGCTTTGCGAAACCGTCGGTTATGCAAGCCGTGCCGCTGCCAACTCGCAACGCGCCGGAAGGAAAAGTGGAACGGGCCGCAGTGGGTCGGCCGCGCGCGCCGCACCAGCACGCCCGCCACCGCCGCGACTGTGCAGTGCCCAGTGCCCAGTGCCAGTGCCAGTGCCCGCGCGTGACAGTGCCGCTCCTAGAGCGCCGCGGCTTGCGCAAGCCCTGCGCTACGTCCACGGGAATACTTTGAACTAGATTACGTCCGACCTCCGTCTAGCCCGGATCGCAAGCCGCCGTCTCACATTATAAATCTCATACTAGTGTCTTATTTGTGCACGTGTTACGTCTGTCGCATGTACTTCATAACTGCATTAATGTCATCGCATGCATCTACATTGTATAAATAATGCATGATCTCATCCACGACCATATTTTCCTTACTCAATTCAAGGCTTCGCTTAAACTCATTGTAAAAAAATAATCATCAGTTTTATCTAAAAAATTATGATTCAATTCTTCTCAACATTAGATTGGGTCAATAATCGTAACGTGCAGTTAAAACGTTGTACTAATTAACATTTCCTTTACAATCGATTACGGCTCGAAAATGAAATCGAATCGAATGAGCCGAGTCGATTAAAATGTCTTTAATTACGAACGCGTGTTGAAACCGAAACGGTGGTGGGACGTGACGTAGCTTTGAGGAAAGGGAAAGTGTTCATTGGAGCGTTATATTCCTCGCGCCACACCGCCACTCGATCAAATACCTCGTGGGTACAAATCATCCACGATACAGAGTACTTAGAGTACAGAGAGTACTTGCATAGAGCGTTGTAATCGTGCAGCGTACGTTCCCTTTAACGATGCCATGTGCCCAAGGACATATTAATAGTGTGTAGTGAATGACAATCAGTCACATTTATCGTACAGCCGGTGTTCTATTGCACAACGGCTTATCTGCCACAGAGCTAACAATTATATGGCCCACTTTCATAACTCAATGGTACCGTGACATAATACGTACATTCACTTTACCTTTAAAATGTACATTTTAGTTGTTTGTAAGGGTAATAAGGTGGTTAGATGTTTGAGGTATAAATAGGATGAAATAGCTGATGTTAAACGAGCGGCTAGTGTGAAATAGCCGCAGTGCAGTTACGTCAGCACTGCAACTGCGCGGGGGCACGCGTAGGCGGCCGCATTAACAACTACATACCTCGCTACTCTGTACACGACATGCCACACACTGCAACTGAACACTATTCGATCTGCACAACTTCGCATTATCATATTTCGCTCGCTTGCTATATTAATATTTATCATTTCACTTGCAAATCATAATCGTGTAAAATCTAGCGTTTCTTACTTTGTACTTTGTTTTTTGAAAGTATAAAACTGTGATTACACTACAAAAGAACATACAGCGTTATTGTTAGGTAATACTTATGAATTTATTTTTAATATTGTCTAGTTAGCTTCATTTATGTTCAATTTAAAAGTTGTCGAAATTATCAGTTGAGTTTCAATTGCGTAAGTTTGCGCAAACTACGAGCAACGCCAAAGTGCATTTTGCATTACAAACATCAATTCATTGTTCGTATAAAATATCGCAAGCGAGTAGCGAGCTATTCGCCTCGCTGTTTGTGGATGCAGGCCTATGTCAGACTCTCGACAGCGCAAGGACGCGAGTATGACCTACTTGCGCTCACCTATCGTGCCAACGCCAAGCAAAACTAGCCTCTAACGAATACTCAATAACTATCACAAATCGATATTCCAACTGACTCGATAATTACAATTAATCGTTATGAAGTCGATTCAAAATCGATTCCGGATACATGTAGTTTACGTTCATTGCAGTTTCTAATTTTGTTTTACTGATTTTGCTACAAAATGATATTTTATTTAATGTTCAAATACCTCCGGTACTGGTATTTTGGATTGTTTAACAGTATGACAAAGCAGCACAACATAACAATATCGAATTACTAATAATGTTTGACACGTAATCGGTTCTGAAAGTATTACTAACTATTTGATTATAATTCGTATTAAATTACAGATGACCAATATAAAAGTCATTGCCCGGAATTTTATTTGCTTGTGGTAGGATTTTTAATTTACATATGAGTTTTGTAAATATGAAACTTTTATAATCTATTCGAGTATTGACTTCATATTTAACTACTTACAAAACTCAAAACTCAAAACAAACCATTCAAGTTATTAGGCGTACAATAGAATAACTAACTAAAAAGTTTCATTAGTTTAAATAACAACCTTTTTTATAATTCTGTATACGTTAACAAATTAATGCTATCCATTAAGATGTCACGCTTTCGCCGCACACTTTCATTTGAATCATTTTAACTTCACACGAATGCTTTCCAAAAACTCGACTGTGGGAGACACTCTCGCTTACAACCGGCCTCTACAACACAATCTAAAATCGTCACATTATAAAAATATCGCTATAACACTCAAATATTAAAATTCAAAACATCTATGGTAAAGGAGTACGTATTATCCACTTTATAAAATAACTACATGATCAAATTTATGGTTCATTTTACTAATACAAAATCATTTTGTATATAATAACCATTATACCTAAAAACCTATTATTAATTAAATCTTGTAAAATGTGTCTTTAGATGCGAACTTTTAAAGTGTAGTTTAGTGTTAACGGCCAAAGACGTTTGTGAAAAGACGGTTTAGTGATGCGGCATAATCGTGAACTATCGATATCGACGGTTTTGTTTTCGTCCCGGAGTTCGTATCAGGAGTGCGTTTGCAAAGAATATGACAAGTTTGCGTTATTGCAAAATTGATACTGTAAATGCACTATCTGGTACGACACTCCGGTACGTGTAGCGACGCTCCGGAACGCCCGTACCAAGCAATTCGGTACATTCGTACCATATGAACTCTAAGTGCATCTAAAACAGTTCTTTTTCCGCTCTATATTAGCAATATTTATTTTTCTAATTATGTTTATAATATGTTATTTCTT